ATTTTTTTGTAGAGTAAGAAAGGATATATTTAAAATGTATAGACTTGTAGCACAAGTAATAAAAACCCAGAGACAGATATTGGGGTTCGACCTGAAGATCAGAAGAGCACAGCAGCCTCCACTGGCTCTTACCTCTACCTCAAACCAAAACTGGGCAATCCTGCCTCCAGGATCCTCAGAATGAGCCCGAGAGTGAGACTGGTCCCCTCCCATTTTATATTTCTTTCTAGTGCTGGGATTAGAGGTGTGCACCACCTCCACTTGGCCTCTCTTGAGAACTAGTATGACTGCTGGGATTAAAGGTGTGTGTCACCACTGCCTGATCTGTACGGCTGACTAGTGTGGTGCTTGTACTAACCTTCAGGCAAGCTTTATTTGTTAAAACACAAATAATATACCACTATATTTCCCTTTTTTTTTTGTCTAAAATGAAAAAAACTATAACTAATATAAGAAAAACTATATGCAATAAGTATAATAACTATATACAATGTATACAGGCAATAAATATATCAACAGTGTCTAATCCATTTGCATTTGACAAATTCAGAGAAAACATTTCATTATCTCTCCTATCTTAGTGAGTCCAAAGTCTTGTACCTAATTTACTTTCTTCTTCTTCCTTTTTTTTTTTTTTTTCGAGACAGGGTTTCTCTGTAGCTTTTGGTGCCTGTCCCGGAACTAGCTCTTGTAGATCAAGCTGGCCTCGAACTCCCAGAGATCCGCCTGCCTCTGCCTCCCGAGTGTTGGGATTAAAGGCGTGCGCCACCACCACCCGGCTCCTAATTTACTTTCTATCATAACTTGCTTTCTGAGTCTGGTAAACAAGGAAAACTATATCTTAGTCTTCAGCTCCCTCAGAGACCCAAGAAGAAAATAAAATTAACTGGGTAAGCAGGAAGTACAAGCAACTTACAAAAAAAAAATGTGAGAAATGACAGAAACAGCTGGCTGCCTGGACAGTCACCCAAAGTTCCTCTTCAATGGTGGGGCATCCATCTTTGGCCTACAGTTTAGAATATCTGACAGACTTTTTTATGAAGCACGATATTCTGACAATGTTTGGCAGTCACTATCTTTTGTGCCCTGCTTGTCCCATTAGGACAGCATGCTTTCACCAACCGAGGCAACGACATTTTCTTGCCCAGTGGCTTACATTTGCCACAAAGAAAGTAAACTCCATGTGAAGTTTCTTTGAGGCCCTTATCTTCTCTGAAGTAGACTGGTGCTGCCAGGAGGTGACATGTCTCATTGTATAAAAAAAGAACCAGTGTTATTAAAACATCTTGGATCTGTGGATCTCTAAAGTGTTTGAAGATGACCTATCGATCTAAAATATATCTTTGTTTGACCTTTAAAACATACCTAATATGACTACAAATTCGTTATAATAGGTGACTAACTACTAACCTGCATTTACTTATTATCCTGAACAGTTGGTAATAATAATTTTCAAGGACCAGAAACTCACGTTGCATTGTTAAATGAGTTGTGTAGGTACAATACCTTGAATAAGAGTAGAAATGTATGTAGAATATGTTCTAACAAAATTAATCTCAAATTTGCATCAATATATAAAAATCCAACCCAATGTAAAACATCTAAAACTAGTAGTTGCTTTTTAAAAGTAGACTCAATAATCTACCTTTTTAAATCTTATCAATATATATATATATCCTCCCTTTTTCAGATTAGTTTCAATAATCTTCCTAACCTTTTACCAGTCATATCTATATCCCACTTTTTTCTCAATGAGAACCTTAACTAATTTTCTTTGCTCAGCTTTTTCCCTGACCATTACCAATAACAACTTGTAACCAATCCCCCTAAACAATGGCAAATATCGATAAACCCACTGAACGGCCAAAAACCACCCATCCCACCTCTTGGGAATGTGGGTGTCATGTTCTTAAATTTACTTCCTGCTGTTTGGGGATAATGCTATCTTTAGGGGATCCAGAAAAGAAAAAATTGGGTTAATTGTTAAATCCTAGGAGAAGTAGCTGTACCATTTGTTGTCCAGTCTCTGTGTAATGGGAAAGTGCAGGGCGTGTCTCAAGCCCTGGCTAGAGTAGTCTGTTAGGCTGGATTATCTCAGTTAGCCACTTTGAAATTGTTCTGAGCAGGTTGTAGCCCAAAGCTGATCTTTAGGTGGTGCTTTTCAGCTTAGCGGTATTATAATAGTCCTGGTGGATCAATGTTGTGGGACTCCATTCTCCTTTTGGAGACTTCAAATGTCACTGTTAGTTCACTGCAGAAAACTGATAGAGACTCAAACCTGAAATCATGTACAGGAAGATATATCAAACCTTTTTCTAGAATTAGTACTCTATATGAGCATAAATATCATGAAAAAGTTATACATATAGAACTTTATATATATATATACCATATATATAACTATATATAAACTCTATTTAAAAATATATAATAAATCTTATACCTTAAGGAAAAGCTGTCCAATGGTCAATCTAAAACCAAAGGATTATGAAATTAGTAGCAATAAAATAGTCCTTAAATTTTTGTTTTTCTTCTGTCAGGTGGCTCTTCTGATATAAGACAAATTTTTTGCATTTCACTTTTGTAAGGATGCTTGGGTTTAGAAGAGAGAGCCACACTCCAACTCCAAAGCCAGCTTTGATTTTAAATTAGATTGGGACTACAGAAAAGCTATTTGCATTATATTTCTGTAGAGAACACCAGAAACAAACATTTGGGAAGATTTATGAAATTTTATCCTGTTGGAAATGTGACATACCAATAGGCCAATTTGCTCTTTTTCTTGAGACCTTCCTTCCTTCCTTCCTTCCTTTCTTCTTTTTTCTTTCTTTTTTTTTTTTGGATGATTTGTCTTTTTTCTTAAGATGTCTTATTTGTCCAGTGGTCTTTAAATTCCTTAGCTGGATACCTTTATCCTTCTGAAAAGACAGAAACAAAACCCTTCCCCAGCACTATTTTTGGGGAGACTTTCATTGGCAAGTTGTATCTGATCAAATGAAAAGCATTTGTTAGTTTTATAGGTTGGTTTAGATTAAATAACCATGGTGCTTAATGAAATATCATCTCTAATAATTAAGAGGTGTCTCTTGTTTAAACAGAATCTTGAGTCATTTTGATGGTATCCATGGCTTTTCTTTCTCTGTGGAAACAAAAGCAAAATCCCTTCCCTAATATAACACATGTCCTGGTTTCCATTCTGAGGTTAGCGCATCATTAAAGTATATCAGATGACTTAATTCTATTGTTTTTTCTATATCCAATGGCTCTCCACAGATGTTGTTCCTTTCTCATTAGCATTTAAAAATTCAAACTTAATAAAGCATTATGCAATCCATGCCTGTGGGTATTTATCATCCCTTTCTGCTTATTTAACCTATCCTTTAAAGTTCAATTTGATCTTTCTATAACTGCCTGGCCTATAGGATTGTGTGGTATACCTATAATATGGCTTATATTATAAACAAAAACTATTTCACTTTCTTAGAGGCATAAGCTGGAGCATTGTCTGTCTTTATTTGTACAAGTATATGCATGATAGCCATAACTTCTAGCAAATGTGTGATTACCAGATCGATCTTTTCCAAACTCAAAGGAGTTTCCCATTGAAAACCTGAATAAGTATCAATGGTGTGGTGTACATATTTTAGCTTTTCAAATTATACAAAATGGAACACATCCACCTGCCAGATTTCATTCCTTTGAGTACCCTTTGGGTTACTTCCTGCAGGAAGTGGTATTTGGTTGTATAAAGAACAAGTAGTGTATTTCCTTATGATTTCCTTGGCTTGTGTCGGGGTCCAGATCCAACATAAAACATTTCTTACCAGCATAAAGGTGTGGGAATATTAAAAAACACAATTCACACTACAGTATTGGAAGAAGCTTCAGTGATCATTCAAATCCTGAAATTACTCACATTTATTTTTCTTTTCTTTTTTTGGGGGGGGGGAAGAGGAGAAAAGATTTTTATATAAAACTACCTATTACAATACAGAAAAAGTATAAAATGCTCTAGTTCTGGAACGTCAGTACAAAAGGACACTGGCATAGGATCATCTCACCATCTAAACCTTGGGTGCTCTCAGAGGGTGGGAGAGATGCTAGAAAGAACAAAAGGAGTAGCGGTTTCAAAATCTCAGGCTTATCAACCTAAACTCCACCCGTTTTTAGTTGAAAATGCCATCTACCTTGATAACCTTGACTCTTAAGCCAAAATTCATTCAGATCTTAAAATACTCTTAGGAAGTCTATAAACACCTGATACGTAGCAGTTGGTGGGAATCACTGTATGCTGGAATTTGAAAGATGAAAATAAACCTACAGACTAAATGGTGAACACATTCAGTCTTTTTTCTTTTCAAAAGCACATCCCTATGAAATATATACTTCACGTGTGTGTATGTGTATATATGCATGTACATACACACATATAGATAGGTATATATGTATATAAAATTCTCTGTGGTTAGAAACATATTTAAACTAACTAGCCACAGACCAACTAGACCTGTATTCATCCAACTCTGGTATTCCTTCTTCTTAGTCAGAAGGAGGCAACAGTGAAGTGGGGGCCCTGTTGCTGCACTCAGCACGGCTGGGTGGGTCCTCCCCACAGCACATGCGCTAGCACAGGCAAAAGGCCTGCTTGCGCCTTTAGGGTCTGCCAGGGACTCAGTGAGCTGGAGCCCTTTGGAAACAAGACGGCAGAACTAAGGTGAAAAGCATTCTCTCTCCAGCTAAGGGATGTTCCTCACCCCTTTCACAGCACCAAAGTTTCTTTGCAAAAATAGTATCTGAGATACAAAAGGAAAGGCAGATGTGCTTGTGAGTGCATCTCGCCTGGGCTGGTCCAGGATCAAGGGCTGCACATGAACAGGGTGAGGAGCAGCTGTTCCAAGGTCTCTGGCTGTAGATAGCAAAGGGCTAGAACCCCACACTATCATGTCTGCTTTCTGAGACAGTCTTCACAAGAGCTTCCGGTGGAGGATCTCCCAGACCATTCACTTCCGGAAATACGGCATGTGTTGCTGTGTGAAGTTGATCAGTCTGTCTTTGGTAATACAGTCAGCATATCTGCAAGCAAACATCCCACAGTCACTTCCATTCATTTGCTGCGGAATTTCCTGGCTCTTCTTGCTGAAGAGCTGCCAGCCATTGGTGTCAAACTCTTTCCTTTTCTTGTCAACACTTTCTTGCTTTAGGTATTGCAGGAGGATCCTGCAGGCTTCATTGTTTATTCCACCCATAGAATCATAGTAGGTGACACTCTTCTTTCTAAAGTCTATGACAGCTAGACACCAGTGCACACCCAAGTGAATGGGCACCAGAAGAAGGTCAACAGAAAACACATCCACTTTCTTTGTCCAACGTTTCACCGCCTGATGACCAGCTGTTTTTAGCTTAGTGAAGAAAGAGGTATTAAACACATGTACACTTGGAAATCCCTTCTCTTTACTGTGCTCCATCAGCATATTCATGTAGAAATTGATGATCTCATCATTGAGCTAGTTCAGATGGTTTAGAGTTTGAATATCTTTGCGTGTAATGGTCAAGCGGAACACTTCACTGAGGACTTCATCCAGGTTACCATTACGAAATACATTCTTTATTTCTTCCTTCATTTCCTCTGTAATTTCAGGAAATTCGTTTTCACTATCAGTTAGCTCATGACTCCCCCCCCCCCCCGCCCCCCCTTGTTTCCTGGGCGATTGTGACAGGAATCTCCTTTTGAAGAGGTACATGAAGGTGCAGTTCTATGGAATCAAGTACTGCATGTTCCTGCTCCTGCAATCTCTGGTTTTGAAGCTGCAGTGCCAGTGCTTTCTGTTCTTCAATCTGGCGCAATCTTTCCCGGGCTCGAGAATCATAAACACTAGTTCTAGAGAATGGAGAGAGGAGTGTAGTAATAGGAGTGGCGGGGCTGCGTCCCCAGCACCCCGGCTGCCTGCTCGGCTAGCTTATGCCCCGAAATAACAACACACAAACTGTATTCATTTAAACACTGCTTGGCCCATTCTCTTCTAGGCTAATTCTCACATATTAATTTAGCCCATTTCTAATCATCTGTGTATGGCACCCCAAGGTGCACTTACCGGGAAGATTCTAGTCTATGTCCATCCTGGGTCGGAGCTTCATCCCGGGAGCGGGGCATGGCGTCTCTCTCAGGCGTCTGCTCCCGAGAGGAGAGATTTCGAGTCTGAGCTCACTTCCTCTTCCTCCCAGCGTCCTGTTCTGCCTACTCCTCCCACCTATCCTCTAACCAATAAAATGGGCCAAGGCAGTTTCTTTATTAGCCAATGACCTTCCTCCATCAGAGGAGAATCAGACCAGCGTCTCAGCCCAACCACATCTCTGCAGTGCACTGCAGGTATGCAGCTTAAATAGAGCTCACAGTACAGACTCCACTCAAACCTCACCACATGGACAAGTTAAGACAGAGTAAAACAACATGTTTATTTAAACGATTCTACCATGTTTACTCCTCCCGTTTATTTTTCAAGCAACTTTTATATCAACGTAAACTGAGAGGGAAGTTAACAAAAACGTCATTAGCATTCTGTTTCCTAGGTAGCAGGGAATGACTTGAGTCACACCTTGCTGATGTCTGTTTTGTCACGTAGACTGAAAACCCCTCTTCCCCAGGTGACCTTATAATTACAATGAAGGAGCAGAACTACATTAGTATATCCTGTCATCTGTTGGGATGGTGCCAGGTTTGCTTTACTTCAAAGAGCCAGGTTATCTCCTCCTGTGTGGAAGGGGTGCAAATTGTGCCTGTAAGTCACTCAGATTCTCCGACTGCCAGGCAATGTGGAACATGGGCCTGCATATTTTCGCCCTTCCATGCTTGTTGACATGTGATGGAAAAGTCTTTTTTAAACCTTTGCTATTGACATGTTTTTTTTTTAATGAAGTTCTGAGTCCTTCAGCCCATCGCCAATCAGTAATTGATCAATTTCTGCATTGTGTTATGCTAGAGGACCAGGCAGACCCATAAGGGATAGGATGTGTGTTATGTATACGGGATATTTCCTATTCCTGATTGTATCTTGTACTTGAATAAATAATAAAGTCAATTCTGTATCATCTGGTACAAATTTAGCAATTCAATGTATAAAACAACTCTTTCTGCTTATTGTGAATCAGTAACTATATGGAGATGTTCTTTAAAACCCCTTAGAATCATGAGAATAGCATTAATTCTGATTTTTGGACAGAGTCATAAGGGCTTTGATCCACTCTACTTAAAGTTTCTGATTTGTAACCTGCCTTTCCTGATTAATTTGCATCAGTATAGAATGTACAGGCTCCAGTTATTGGTGTGTCCCATACAATGTGAGGAAGAATCCAGTTAGTTCTTTATATAAGTTGAATTTTCTTGCTTCAGGGATAGTTGTTGTTAATCTCTCCCAAACATTTAGTACAAGCTCTTTGCAAGGGTTCACTTTCTGCCCATGATTTTTCAATTTCATCATTATTAAAAAGTACTATAATTTCTACTGGGTCTATTTCTGCTAGCTGACAAAATCTTAATTTTTCTTTTAGAATTAACTCAGAGATCTTTACCACATGAGTTTTTAATTTTTTACTCAATTTATGTGGTAAAAATATCCATTCTAAGATATAATCTTCCCTCTGCATTGAAATTCCTGTAGTGGAATGTTTGGAGGATAATATGATCAAAATACAATTAAGATTTGGATCCACATGATCCACATGTGCCTCCTGTAATTTCTCTTCAATCGAAGTCAATTCTCTCTCAGCTTCAGCAGGGAATATTTAAGTCCTTGTCACCACCTAAGGTTTTGTTTAAATTGATCAGTTTATCATGATGTCTCTGCACAATTGATGGAAAACGTCTCCTAGCAATCTTTGGAAGTCATTAAGAGTCTGCAATCCATCTCTCCTATTGACACCTTCTGGGGTCTAATTTTTTAAAACCTATTTTGTAACCTAAATAATTAATAAAATCTCTTCATAATTTTTCAGGAGCAATTCATAATCCCCAAAAGGTAATTATTTTTTTACTTCTCCAAACATTCTTTCTAAAGTATTTACATTTGAATCAGATAGCAAAATGTCGTCCATTTAATGGTAAACTATAGGTTCAGGAAATTGCTTACATATCATTTCCAATGACTGACTTACAAAATATTGGCACAGGGTGGGCCTATTTAACATTCTTGTAGGAGAAACTTCCATTGATATCTCTTAGCATGCTGAGAATTTTTGTAAGTAGGCACTGTGAATGCAAATTCTTCTCTGACTTTTTCTTGTAATGATATAGTGAAGAAACAATCTTTTAAATCAGTAACTATAAAAGGCCATCCTTTAGGCAATAGAGAAGACAAAGGAATGGCAGGCTGCAGAGAGCTCATTGAGTAAATTACCTTATTAACAATTTTAGATCTGTTACCATTCTCCATTTTCCAGACATTTTAAACATTAAATACAGAATTGCAAGGGCTGGTTGACTCTTCAATATTCTGAACTCCTAATTGCTCCTATAGCAGTTGTTATAAAGCCTGCAGTTTCTCTGTTTTTAAAGGCTGTTGTGTAACCCATACAGATTTGTCTATCAACCATTTTAAGGGTTGGGCTGTTGGTGCCTTTGAAATATCTGCAGCTGTTATGTCCTATTATGTACAACCTAAATGGTCAGAGCTTGTTCTTTATAATATCTTGTAGCGTTTTTCCCAGAAACGTATGTTAATTTATGGTTTGTTTCTACATTTGGAGGAATATTAATCTGAGTATTCCATTACTGTAACAAATCATGTCCCCACAAATTTATCGCTATGTTAGCCACATATGGTTTTAATATTGTTCTTTGTCCTTCTGGCCCTATACATTCAACATATCTCATGTTCTGTTTTACCTGAGGTAAATTTCTGATCCCTAAAAACTGAATATTTACGTCCTGAAGAAGCCAATTTGGATGCCAACTTCCTAATGGAATTATTGTTACATCCACACCTGTGTCTACCAGACCTTTAGTGATGCCATTTATTTGTATTTTTAACTTTGGTCTTTGTTTATTTATAGAAGTTTGCCAGAATACTCGCTTTATGGTTTCTCCTGAATTTTTTTCTCTCTTCTATACCTGTTCTATTATCCAGAGAAGTATGGTTTCTGATAACAGGCATTAAGTTCTTTAATTGCTCTGGGAAAGAGTTTCCTCTATGATGGCAGGAAATGACTGAACCAGATTTGGCATAGGGGCCTGCAAGAGGCCTCATGGAGTTTCCTGATGGCAAAGCATTATCTTAAATATTCCTCTTTGATCTACATTAATCAGTCCATTGCCTGCCTTTGACACACCTGCATAATCCAGAAGGGAGGGGCATTCTGAACGGATTATTTTTAGAAAAAACAATGTTTCTAGGAACACCTTGTCTACAGTCCCTTTTAAGGTGATCTTGTTGCCACATTTGACATTTTGATTTCCCCTCAAACCTCTGTAAATCACCTCTCCTAACCATGCATCATCACGGTCATGAGATTCAATATTAATTGTATGTAGGGAGAGACTTCTTGTTCATTTGCCGGCCGCACAGACTCCCAAAATAATCATGCAGAAATCTGTACTAATTGCAATACTGTTTGGCCAATAGCTTAAGCATATTTCTAGCTGGTTCTTACATCTTAAATTAACCAATTTCTATTAATCTTTGTATCGCCACATGGCTGCAGCTTACTGGGTAAAGTTCCATCTGGTGTCCGGCGTCTGTCTCTGGCAGGGCTACATGGCTTCTGGCTCACTCTGCCTACTCTCTCCTTCTCTATCTGCTTGGAACTCCGGCCTTGCCCTATTCTGCTAAGCCACTGGCCGAAACAGCTTTATTCATTAACCAATAAAAGCAGAACATAGATGGAAGGACTTCTCACACCAGTTGTGTCTTGAATCCCTTTCTCTAAGGGTGCTGACCATGCCTTTAACAACCTAGTTATCCTTTTGCATGGTTGTCATTTTCAAAAGCCAGAGACTCAATTATTATTTGTCTACCTTCTGAATTTGATATCATTCTGTCTACAGCTGATGTCAATCTTTGTAAGGAATCCATGAAGGCTTCTTTTGGGCCCTGTATAACTTTAGGAAATAATTCAATCTTCTTTTCTATGTCTTCAATTCTGTCCCAAGCATTCAAAGCTGCTGCATTGCACAAAGCTAGAATGCGACCATGATACAGAGATTGCTTTTCTATAGTAGCATAATTTCCTTCTCCAAGAATTTGATCTTGGGAGATTTCCCTACCTCTAGCTTTACTCTGTTGTTCAATGGTCTTAGCCTCTTCTCTGAACCAGTTGCTTCACTATAATTGTGAGCCAGGCTCCAAAACAGCTTTAACCAACTCTATCCAGTCATTAGGGGTAATTGTATAACAAACTGACCACAACTTTAACAGTCTGGCTGCATGTAGCTCTGGTCTGTGCAGGTGGCTGTAAAACCACAGTCAAATAGCTTTTTTTTGTGAATTTGTACCTCAAACGTTGGACACCAAATGTAGCATGAATAATAAAAACCAGAGACTGATAATGCTGGTGTTTAACCTGAAGATCAGAAAAGTGGCAAAGCAGCCGGCCACTGGCTCTTACCTCTGCGTCGGATGGAAAATGGGAAGTCCAGCCCCCACAAATTCTCAGATTGAGGCTGAGAGCAAGTTCCTATCTCCTCACATTTTATATTCCTCTCTAGTGCTGGGATTAAGGGCTTGCATCACCACTGCCTATCTAGTGTGGCTAACTAGTGTGGCTGCTGGGATTAAAGGTGTGTGTAACTAATGCCTGGCCTGTATGGCTGAATAGTGTGGTTATTTTGTACTAAATTTCAGGCAAGCTTTATTTATTAAAAACACAAATAATATACCACTATACACA